CAACACTCTAGTGAATTTTCCCCACATATCTTATACTCAACGTTCGGTGTGATGTGCCATCTCGTTAAACATTTATAGTTTACCTCCACCTCTCTCATACTTATATTCTCGTGTATTAATCTATATATTTTCCTTTGTTTATCCTCATCTATCTCTATTCCCAAATCTCTTTCCCATTTACCTATATACATTGGCTTTGTGTAAGTGTCCAACTCAGCGAGGATTTAAGCAAAGTTTATAATCTTGATCATCCTCTTTAACCGTTTCAATACCGGGCAATTTTACACCTTCCTGCCCCCAGGCCAGTTTTCAGGTTTCAGCGCTCTCACACTTTGAATGACAATTGCGCGGTCATACAACATTGTACCCAAACTAAAATTTGATCATTTTCTTCACACAACTAGAGCTTTCTTTTGGTGGTATTTAATCACCGCCTGGGGTTTTTATTTTTTGCTAAATTAACAAAAAAAGACCAAAAATTTTGAAAAAAAAAAAACACATTTTTCTTTGTTTCTGTTATAAAAGTTTACAAATAAATAATTGTTCTTCATAAATTTAGGCCGAGATGTATTCTGCTACATGTCTTTGGTGAAAATAACCCAAATTAGGATGTATTTTTTAGTTTGTAGGAAAGTTATAGAGTTCACAAACTATGGTATAGATCTGAATATTGATCAATCCTGAAGTACTGACAGCCAATCTAATATCTTGAGGTCCAAGAATGTCAGAACAGTACAGATATCCCCAAATGTCAGGACAGTACAGATATCCCCCAAATGTCAGGACAGTACAGATATCCCCAAATGTCAGGACAGGACAGATATCCCCAAATGTCAGAACAGTACAGATATCCCCCAAATGTCAGAACAGTACAGATATCCCCCAAATGTCAGGACAGTACAGATATCCCCCAAATGTCAGGACAGTACAGATATCCCCAAATGTCAGGACAGGACAGATATCCCCAAATGTCAGAACAGTACAGATATCCCCCAAATGTCAGGACAGTACAGATATCCCCCAAATGTCAGAACAGTACAGATATCCCCCAAATGTCAGGACAGTACAGATATCCCCCAAATGTCAGGACAGTACAGATATCCTCCAAATGTCAGGACAGGACAGATATCCCCAAATGTCAGAACAGGACAGATATCCCCCAAATGTCAGGACGGTACAGGTCCAAATGTCAGGACAGACAGATATCCTCCAAATGTCAGAACAGGACAGATATCCCCCAAATGTCAGAACAGTACAGATATCCCCAAATGTCAGGACAGGACAGATATCCCCAAATGTCAGAACAGTACAGATATCCCCCAAATGTCAGGACAGTACAGATATCCCCCAAATGTCAGGACAGTACAGATATCCCCCAAATGTCAGGACAGTACAGATATCCTCCAAATGTCAGGACAGGACAGATATCCCCAAATGTCAGAACAGGACAGATATCCCCCAAATGTCAGAACAGTACAGATATCCCCAAATGTCAGGACAGTACAGATATCCCCAAATGTCAGAACAGTACAGATATCCCCCAAATGTCAGGACAGTACAGATATCCCCCAAATGTCAGGACAGTACAGATATCCTCCAAATGTCAGGACAGGACAGATATCCCCAAATGTCAGAACAGTACAGATATCCCCAAATGTCAGGACAGTACAGATATCCACCAAATGTCAGGACAGTACAGATATCCCCCAAATGTCAGGACAGTACAGATATCCCCAAATGTCAGGACAGTACAGATATCCCCCAAATGTCAGGACAGTACAGATATCCCCAAATGTCAGGACAGTACAGATATCCCCCAAATGTCAGGACAGTACAGATATCCCCAAATGTCAGGACAGTACAGATATCCCCCAAATGTCAGGACAGTACAGATATCCCCCAAATGTCAGGACAGTACAGATATCCCCCAAATGTCAGGACAGTACAGATATCCACCAAATGTCAGGACAGTACAGATATCCCCCAAATGTCAGGACAGTACAGATATCCCAAATGTCAGGACAGCATAGGATATCCCCCAAATGTCAGGACAGCACAGATATCCCCCAAATGTCAGGACAGTACAGATATCCCCCAAATGTCAGGACAGTACAGATATCCCCAAATGTCAGGACAGTACAGATATCCCCCAAATGTCAGGACGGTACAGATATCCCCAAATGTCAGGACAGTACAGATATCCCCCAAATGACCCCTTTTTGCAGAGCAGACAGTCCGACGTACTTCATAAGAGGCATGGCGAGTTTTTTGAAGTTGTGTATTTTTTTGTCATAATTTTTCGGAAAATGAAAAAATTAAAAAAATTATTTTCACTATTTTTTTTTTTTTACATACTGTCACCAGTGCAGTACAGCGTCATCATATAACTGGCATGGCGGTGAACAGCGACACTGACTGGTGACAGTATGAAAAAAAAAAATATATTTTTTTTTTTAATTTTTTTAATTTTTTTATTATATTTAATTTTTTATTACATTTTTTTTTATTTTTTTTAAGATTTTTTTTTCATATTTTACTATGACCAAAATAGTACAATGTTACCATAGTAACACTGTACTACTTTGGGGAAGTGATCAGTATTTTTTTTTTTTTTTTACACAATTTGCTTATAGCAAAGAATTACTTTGCTATAAGCAAGCATTTACCTGAATGAAATCGATTCATTCAGCTTTTTTTTTTTTTTTTTTTTTTTGTGCTTAGCTGTGATTTGGTCACAGCTAATCACATGACATGTGCATGTGATTAGCTGTGACCATTCACAGCTAGGCACTAGTATACAATGGATGGCATCATGAATGAAGCCATCCATTGTATACAACTGTCATGTGACCTGCTGTGATTGGTCACAGCAGGTCACATGGTAACCCGGCAACGGGAGCCGGTACTCGGATCTGTCATCGGCCGTGTCCGAGGTGCACGGGCGGTGACAGATCGCACTGCTGCGTCGATCTGCAACCGCGCAAACCGCGCATGTGCGGGAGCACGCCAAATAGCGTGCACCCGGAAAGCTGCAGCGCTTTTCAAGCCGCCAAACGGCCATTGGCCGGGCGGCTAATGGTTAAAGCCCTGAACTAGCTTCTGTTTGCCTTTAAATAATGATGTCTTCCAGCATTATGCCTCATTTTGATGGCATCCACTATAAAACGCGTCCTCCTTTTATGAGAGCCAATAAGAAATGTAACAAATCCCATTATCTGAGCGCGAAGCCCTTTTCTCCAGAACATTCATAATGATCTGACCACCATCTGGCCGGTGCAGGAGATTCAGCCTCCGCGTCAGCTGTCATTTCAGCGGCATCGGAGAGAGCCGTCCAACTGGCAGAGCGCGCGGAGAGAGCTCAAGGACGTATCGCGGCTCTGTTTAACGACGGCGATAATGTGAATATATACAGATTACGATGGGACTGGGGCGGGGTGTGTTCTTACCAGTGCTGGAAAAAGATGGAAAATATTTAAGGTCATTTAGAGGTATTTCGAGGATGCCCCATTTTTTTAAATTAGTTTGAAAGGAATGCTTTTTTTTCTTTTTTATCTTCCTTTGATTGATTCGAATGGAAATAAAAAGTGGCACACAAGTGGACAGTAGTTTAATCATCAAGTTGGCCCCAACCATCAGGAAGCTATCACATGATTTTTTTTTTTTTTAAGTCCGCAAACGTGCAAACTAGAACGAAAAACCCGGAAGTGATCACAAAAAAAGTGCAAGTGCGAACACCACACGAAAAAGTGCACTTAGGGGTGTGCTTTGCCCTTCCCCCGAAGGGGATGGACCACTACCCTGATCCCCCGGGGCACGAAGCTCCTGACAGGGACAAGGTTCCCATTTGGTCCTCCTGGCCAAAAGGCCTGGTGGACCACCGTTCCTTGTGGCTAGCCGAAGCCAGCCACCAAGTACTTGGTCGGGGGGCTCTCCCGAAGAGAAAACCCCCTAGGGATCAGGGGAGGAAGGAACCAAAAGGCCACACATCCTCCCCCTAGACTTCAGGGCAGGCCCGAGGACCCACACCCTCCATCCTGTGAAAAACACACATAAGTAAGAAAAAGTGACAAAACGTGGGAGTGATAATAAATTAAATAAATAAAAAATAAAAAAGTGGCCGTGCCAAATAGTGCACAGACCAGGCCCTGAGGCCTGTAGCAAAAATTGCCCTGGGTCTAGCCAAAAGGCCTGGTCCTAAGGGCGCTTGTGCAAAAAGAGTGAAAAAACAGTGACCTTGTGCCATCTTCACACTGTGGGGTCCCACACCCAGGTGTTACTAGTGGCACCCCTGAGGGCGTCTACTCAGGGGGCACTGAGTTTGCGGACTTTCTGCCTTCCTGACCCCTGGCCCCTGGCAAGGTAGATCCGTCCAAATCAGGAGGTACTGGGTCCTTCCGGTCTTCTCGGGGGAATTACTCGTAGGCGCCACGCTTTCTGTCCCCCCGGTACTAGCCTTCCAGACCCCCATCATACCAGTGAGGGTACTATACAACAGCCATCCCCGCAAAGCTAGAATGGCCGGGAGCACCCCCACTGGACACTGATAAGAACAGATACCACCACATGATGTCCTATTAGCTGTTGCTGGGGAATTCCTCACCCCATAGCCACATGTAACAAAAGGTCGGGAATGTTGGTGACATCATTGACCTGTTATGGCCACATGGCCATATTTGTTCATTGATGTTGTCCCAATGTGGCCATATTAGATCTGTGAGGTCACCAGCATCTCACCTCTTTGCCACTCTTTGGGAATTCCCTTACCACAGCCTATTAGTTCTGCAGCTCAATATATACTGTGTCAGTTTCCTTCAGGTTCAGCATGAACTAGGTTCAGGTTGATCCTTAGGTCATCACACCAGCTCAGTGGTGTACCAGCAGATAATAGATTATTAATCACGTTGGTGCAAACTCGCAGGAAGCCCCTGAGTTGTCAGTCCGCCCCTGATCTTGAGGCACCCTTTATCATTATGGACAGTCCAGAGGCATCCTTTAAAATTATGGACAGTCCCGAGGCACCCTTTAAAATTATGGACAGTCTTGAGGCACCCTTTAAAATTATGTGCAGTCCTGAGGCACCCTTTATCATTATGGACAGTCCTGAGGCACCCTTTAAAATTATGGACAGTCCTGAGACACCCTTTAAAATTATGGACAGTCCTGAGGCACCCTTAAAAATTATGGACAGTCTTGAGGCACCCTTTAAAATGATGGACAGTCCTGAGGCACCCTTAAGAATTATGGACAGTCTTGAGGCACCCTTTAGTATTATGGACAGTCCTGAGGCACGCTTTATAGTTATGGACAGTCTTGAGGCACCCTTTAAAATGAAGGACAGTCCTGAGGCACCCTTTATAATTATGGACAGTCCTGAGGCACCCTTTAAAATGATGGACAGTCCAGAGGCACCCTTTAAAATGATGGACAGTCCTGAGGCACCCTTTATAATTATGGACAGTCTTGAGGCACCCTTTAAAATTATGGACAGTCCTGAGACACCCTTTAAAATTATGGACAGTCTTGAGGCACCCTTTAAAATTATGGACAGTCCCGAGGCACCCTTTATAATTATGAACAGTCTTGAGGCACCCTTTATAATTATGGACAGTCTTGAGGCACCCTTTAAAATTACGGACAGTCTTGAGGCACCCTTTAAAATTATGGACAGTCCTGAGGCACCCTTTATAAATATGGACAGTCCTGAGGCACCCTTAAAAATTATAAACGGTCTTGAGGTACCCTTTATGGACAGTCTTGAGGCACCCTTTAGAATTACGGACAGTCCCGAGGCACCCTTTATAATGATGGACAGTCCTGAGGCACCCTTTAGAATTATGGACAGTCCTGAGGCACCCTTTAAAATGATGGACAGTCCTGAGGCACCCTTTAGAATTATGGACAGTCCTGAGGCACCCTTTAGAATTATGGACAGTCCCGAGGCACCCCATTCTATTCTGTATATCAATGGCCATGCTTTTGAAATCGGTTGTCCAACAAGCTCACATGGGTGTGGTGACCAGGTTTCCAAAGACCTCCAACCATATAATGTACGTCAACTATATTTTTAGCCATTTCCCTGAAATTTAAGCCTCGACTATAGAAGTCACAGGGAAGTTCCGTGACCCGCAGTAACACAAGGACTCCAACCTTACGTGGAATAAAACTTGTGCTCTTAGCTGGGCCATAACCCGTAATATGTTCCAAGAGCGAAATGTCAGGAGAACGTTTTGCCTTGCGGTTTATTGATTTGGCATCGCTGTGTACAAACAAACATGGAATTGGATGACAGAAGTGAATCACTGATCCGTCCTACGACCATTATAGGAGATACAGTTATTTCTTGCTTTAGTTTTTTTTTCGAGTTGTGGTTATATTTTTAAAGGGACCATATAGTCCAAATTGTACAACCAAACAATCTTATGTATACAATGTATTTTTTTTAAATAATTTATTTCAGTTACTTATATAGCAATTATTCAGCAAATACTGTCATTTTACTAAAAAGTAGGTCAAAGGGGGAGGGGCAATGGTTCATGAATATTGGAGGTTTCATTCAGTTAGTTAGGGTTGACATCTACTTTAGCCATTTGAAGACTGCTCTCTAGGAGTTTTACTGCTCCAGGGTGGCCCTCCTGTGCAAAATCACACACACATACAGTATCTCCCAGAAGTGAGTCCACCCCTCACATTTTTGTAAATATTTGATTCTCTCTTTTCATGTGACAACACTGAAGAATTGACACTTTGCTACAATGTGACGTAGTCAGTGTACAGCTTGTATAACATGGAAATTTGCTGTCCCCTCAAAATAACTCAACACACCGCCATTAATGTCTAAACCGCCGGCAACAAAAGTGAGTCCACCCCTAAGTGAAAATGTCCAAATTGGGTCCAAAGTGTCAATATTTTGTGTGGCCGCCATTATTTTCCAGCACTGCCTTAACCCTCTTGGGCATGGAGGTCACCAGAGCTTCACAGGTTGCCACTGGAGTCCTCTTCCACTCCTCCATGACGACATCACGGAGCTGGTGGATTTTAGAGACCTTGCGCTCCTCCACCTTCCGTCTTCCACTCCTCCACGACGACATCACGGAGCTGGTGGATTTTAGAGACCTTGCGCTCCTCCACCTTCCGTCTTCCACTCCTCCATGATGACATCACGGAGCTGGTGGATTTTAGTGACCTTGTGCTCCTCCACCTTCCGTCTTCCACTCCTCCATGATGACATCACGGAGCTGGTGGATTTTAGTGACCTTGTGCTCCTCCACCTTCCGTCTTCCACTCCTCCATGACGACATCACGGAGCTGGTGGATTTTAGAGACCTTGTGCTCCTCCACCTTCCGTCTTCCACTCCTCCATGATGACATCATGGAGCTGGTGGATGTTAGAGACCTTGCGCTCCTCCACCTTCCGTTTGAGGATGGCCCACAGATGCTCAATAGGGTTTAGGTCTGGAGACATGCTTGGCCAGTCCATCACCTTTACCCTCAGCTTCTTTAGCAAGGCAGTGGTGGTCTTGGAGGTGTGTTTGGTTTTGTTATCATGTTGGAATACTGCCCTGCGGCCCAGTTTCCGAAGGGAGGGGATCATGCTCTCCTTCAGTATGTCACAGTACATGTTGGCATTCATGGTTCCCTCAATGAACTGTACCTCCCCAGTGCCAGCAGCACTCATGCAGCCCCAGACCATGACACTCCCTCCACCATGGGGCCCCAGACCATGACACCCCACCACCATGCTTGACTGTAGGCAAGACACACTTGTCTTTGTACTCCTCACCTGGTTGCCGCCACACACGCTTGACACCATCTGAACCCAATCAGTTGATCTTGGTGTCATCAGACCACAGGACATGGTTCCAGTAATCCATGTCCTTAGTCTGCTTGTCTTCAGCAAACTGTTTGCGGGATTTCTTGTGCATCATCTTTAGAAGAGGCTTCCTTCTGGGGCAACAGCCATGTAGACCAATGGGATGCAGTGTGCGGCGTACGGTCTGAGCACTGACAGGCTGACCCCCCCCCCCCCTCAACCTCTGCAACAATGCTGGCAGCACTCATACATCTATTTCCCAAAGACAACCTCTGGATATGACGCTGAGCACGTGCACTCAACTTCTTTGGTGGACCATGGCGAGGTCTGTTCTGAGGGGAACCTGTCCTGGTAAACCGCTGTATGGTCTTGGCCACCATGCTGCAGCTCAGGTTCAGGGTCTTGGCAATCTTCTTACAGCCTCGGCCATCTTTATGTAGAGCAACAATTCTTTTTTTCAGATCCTCAGAGAGTTCTTTGAGGTGCCATGTTGCCATGTTGCCATGAGGTGCCATGTTGAACTTCCAGTGACCAGTATGAGAGAGTGAGAGCAATAACACCAAATGTAACCCCCCCGCTCCCAATTCACACCTGAGACCTTGTAACACTAACGAGTCACATGACACCGGGGAGGGAAAATGGCTAATTGGACCCAATTTGGACCTTGTCACTTAGGGGTGGAGTCACTTTTGTTGCTGGCGGTTTAGACATTAATGGCGGTGTGTTGAGTTATTTTGAGGGGACAGCAAATTTCCATGTTATACAAGCTGTACACTGACTACGTCACATTGTAGCAACGTGTCATTTCTTCAGTGTTGTCACATGAAAAGAGAATCAAATATTGACACAAATGTGAGGGGTGGGGACTCACTTCTGGGAGATACTGTATGTGATTTTGCACTTCTGCCATAGGAGGGCGCGTGTGTGCTGCTGGCGGCTCGCTTCTGCTGTGAATACTCACAGCAGAAGCTGATCTGTGAGTGCCGGTGAATGGATGTTCGCCGATCGGGAAGGAGAAAGAACAGAGCTCTGTTCTGACATGTGGGGAAGTGCAAAACTGGGAACACGATCCGTCACTTCCCTTAGTAACAGCACCACGTAGTGTACACCAAGCATATAGCTAGGCACACATTTAACCTTTTGATTGCCCTAGATGTTAACCCCTTCCCAACCAGTACAGTGATCAGTGCATATTTTTAGCACTGATCACTGTATTAGTGTCACTGGTTCCCACAAAGTGTCAGTTATTGTACAAATTGTACGCTTCAATATTGCAGTCCCACTATAAGTCGCTGATCGCTGCCATTACTAGTATAATACATAAATTAATTCTGTAACATGTTGTCACTTCTTAATAAACTTTTATGGAATAAAAAATAAATAAATGAATTAAAATTCCAGTATATGTCCCATAGTTTGTAGACGCTATAACATTTGCGCAAGCTAATCAATATAATAACAATATAATACATTTTGACTGAAATTTATGAAGAAATTTGATTTTTACATTTTTTTTTATTGGATATGTTTTAAAGTTGAAAATAAAAAATACTGCTTTTTTTTCAACATTGTCGGCCTTTTTTTAGTTTATAACACAAAAAGTAAAAACCGCAGAGCTGACCAAATACCACCAAAAGAAAGGCCTATTGGTGGGGGGAAAAAGGAGATACATTTCATTTATGGAGTGCGTTGCATGGCTGTGCAATTGTCAGTTAAAGTAACCAAAAAAATCACCTGATCAGGAAGAGGGGTAAGTCTCCAGGAGGGCAAGTGGTTTTTAAGAGTACCTCTACTTTGTTTGAAGAAAAAAAAAGGAAAAATTCCCCCCCACATGGAAGAAAAAAAATATATTTGAAATATATTTTTTAAATATTTTTCCCAAATATATTGATATATATTTGAAATACTAAAATTTTTGGCCGTAATCAATATATTTAAAAATATATTTAAATAAATATATATATATATTTATTTATATATACACACTGTATGTTGAAATGCGTTTTTATTATAAAGTAATATACTTTGTTTTTATTACAAAGTATATGAAAAATATTTTTAAAAATATATTTTCAAATATACAGTATGTATGTCTTTAAAAATGCATTTAATCTACATTTTTGGAATACATTTACAAATATATGTAAAAATTTATGTTAAAATTACTTTTATATGTTAAAAAAAAATTCTAAATATATTTCAATAAAATATATATATATACATACACACACACTGTATGTTGAAATGCGTTTTTATTACAAAATATATGAAAAATATTTTAAAAAATAAATTTCAGATATACTGTATGTCTTTAAAAATACATTTAATCTAAATTTTTGGAACGCATTTACAAATATATGTAAACATTTATGTTAAATTACTTTTTTTATATGTTAAAAAAAAATTCAAAATATATTTAAATAAATATATATATACATACCCACACACTGTATGTTGAAATGCGTTTTTATTACAAAATATATGAAAAATATTTTAAAAAATACATTTAAAATATACTGTCTTTAAAAATACATTTAATCTACATTTTTGGAACGCATTTACAAATATATGTAAACATTTATGTTAAATTACTTTTGAAATGCGTTTTTATTACAAAATATATGAAAAATATTTAAAAAAATACATTTCAGATATACTGTATTTCTTTAAAAATACATTTTTGGAATGCATTTACAAATATATGTAAAAATTTATGTTAAAATTACTTTTTTTATATGTAAAAAAAAATTCAAAATATATTTCAATAAATATATATATATACATACACACACACTGTATGTTGAAATGCGTTTTTATTACAAAATATATGAAAAATATTTAAAAAAATACATTTCAGATATACTGTATGTCTTTAAAAATACATTTAATCTGCATTTTTGGAACGCATTTACAAATATATGTAAAAATTTATGTTAAATTACCGTATTTTTCGCCATATAAGACGCACTTTTTCTTCCTCAAAACTGGGGTGGAAATGTCAGTGCGTCTTATAAGGCGAATATGGAGCGGCCGGTCCGGTATTTCCACCGCGGCCGTGTCAGAATACCGGGCCGGCCGCTCAGCTCTGCAGCGGGACCGTACCTGTTCCTCTATCCAGCGGCGCGCTGTCTTCCCGGCTTCTGTAGTGTGCGTGACAGCCGGGTGCCAAGTGCGCATGTGCGAGAAGCAGTGCGCTTTGTGAATGGTAAGGCGGTACCTGGGACACATGACAGATCCCAGAAGCCGCCGGACCAATCACAAAGCGCAAGTGCTTCTCGCTCATGCGCACTGGGCACCCGGCTGTCATGTCGAGCGCCATTACAGAAGCCGGGAAGACAGTGCGCGGCTGGATCGAGGAACAGGTAAGATCGGGTACCTGTCAGATTCAGGTACCCGCTCCCCACCTCCTCAAAGGTCAGCAGTCATCTGTGCTGTCCGCAGTCTCTGGTCATCCCTGTGCTGTCCGCAGTCTCTGGTCATCCCTGTGCTGTCCGCAGTCTCTGGTCATCCCTGTACTGTCCGCAGTCTCTGGTCATCCCTGTACTGTCCGCAGTCTCTGGTCATCTCCTGTACTGTGTCCGCAGTCTCTGGTCATCTCCTGTACTGTGTCTGCAGTCTCTGATCATCTCCTGTACTGTGTCCGCAGTCTCTGGTCATCCCTGTACTGTGTCCGCAGTCTCTGGTCATCCCCTGTACTGTGTCCGCAGTATCTGGTCATCCCTGTGCTGTCCGCAGTCTCTGGTCATCCCTGTGCTGTCCGCAGTCTCTGGTCATCCCTGTACTGTGTCTGCAGTCCATTAGTTCAGAATTTTTTTTTTCCTGTTTTCTGCCTCTAAAACCTAGGTGCGTCTTATACGGCGAAAAATACGGTACTTTTTTTATATGTTAAAAAAAAATTCAAAATATATTTCAATAAATATATATATATACATACCCACACACTGTATGTTGAAATGCGTTTTTATTACAAAATATATGAAAAATATTTAAAAAAAATACATTTCAAATATACTGTCTTTAAAAATACATTTAATCTACATTTTTGGAACGCATTTACAAATATATGTAAAAAATATATGTTAAAATTACTTTTTTTATATGTTAAAAAAAATTCAAAATATATTTCAATAAATATATATATACATACCCACACACTGTATGTTGAAATGCGTTTTTATTACAAAATATATGAAAAATATTTTAAAAAATACATTTCAAATATACTGTCTTTAAAAATACATTTAATCTACATTTTTGGAACGCATTTACAAATATATGTAAAAATATATGTTAAAATTACTTTTTTTTATATGTTAAAAAAAATTCAAAATATATTTCAATAAATATATATATACATACACACACACTGTATGTTGAAATGCGTTTTTATTACAAAATATATGAAAAATATTTTAAAAAATACATTTCAAATATACTGTCTTAAAAAATACTTTTAATCTACATTTTTGGAACGCATTTATAAATATATGTAAAAATATATGGTAAAATTACCTTTTTTATATGTTAAAAAAAGTCTGAAGAATATATGTATTTAATCTACATTTTTGGAACGCATTAACAAATATATGTAAAAATGACTTTTTTATATGTTAAAAAAAATCTGAAGAATATATTTTTTTAAAATATATATTTTTAAAATATTTTTCATATTTTTAAAAAATACAAATCACCAAGATACAGACAAAGGGGGGGGGGGGGGGCAATGTGCGGAACCTCCTGAGCAGGCAGGTCTGGTTCTTTCTTGCTTGATTTTCCCTTTTAATTGGAGCGCACCTTAGATTACGAAACGCCATCATGGGCAGTTGCTATCATTATTGATAAAGAGTCTTCATGAAGGAATGAGTGCCCGCAGCGCACAGATAACACCAGGCGGCTCAGTGAAAATGAGTAAAAATAGCAAGTGTGAACTTCTGGGGAAAGCCGGGCTGACCTTTAGCAGCGATAATCCCGGTGTCCTTTCAAGGGCAGAGTCGTTCCCCGAGCGCTCACCGCTGGCTTTTCCTCCTCCTTGAAATGGAATTTACTCTCCATGCAGAGATCAGAGATAATACACTGGATCCAGCTTGATGCAAGGCCATCAGTGAAGAGGTGGCTATGGGGGTTGTGGGGGGTGGGGGTTAGTTTAAGGTGCTCCTGTAGAGTCAAGTCGAAATATGGAATTCCAATCACGTATTTTCCAACATTAATTCTTTATTGGGTATTGGCAAAAAAAAAAAAACAGTATAACATTTTATATCAGATATACCATAGCTCAGCAGTTTTACACTCCCGGCCAATGGACCATCGGCATCCCATCTGTCCTCCATACACACAGCTCAGATCATTATTCTACATAGAAACTGTGAAGGATTTTCTTTAATTTTTTTTTTTAAATACATGTTTCAGAATGCTTTTACATTTAAAAACATTTTTTTTGTTAATTTTTTTTTTTTTTCTAAATATACGTTTCAGAATATTTACATATTTTACATTTAAGAACATTTTTTTTCTTTTTAAAAAAAAATGTTTCAGAATGCTTTTACATTTAAGAAAGTTTTATTCTTTAATTTTTTTTTTTTTAAATATATGTTTCAGAATATTTACATATTTTACATTTAAGAGCATTTTTTTCTTTTTAAAAAAAAATGTTTCAGAATGCTTTTACATTTAAGAACGTTTTATTCTTTAATTTTTTTTTTTTTTTTTAAATATATGTTTCAGAATATTTACATTTTTTACATTTAAGAGCATTTTTTTTCTTTTAAGAAAATTTTTTTTTTTCTTTAAATTTTTTTTTTTTTTTTAAATATGTTTCAGAATGCCTTTACTTTTTTTTTTTTTTGCCCTGAATGTTGTACCTGCTTGATCCTTAAAGAGGCTTTTACATTTAAGAACTCCAGGCAAACCTGCTAAGTTGAATGTCCTTTTGGTGAATTGGTGGCCAAAATTGAACTGCAGGGAGAGTGTTCTTACCCAATTGCAAGGGACTGTTGGTCACCCTAATTGAACCATATTCTAGATGAAGACTTACTAATGATTTAATTACTGGACTCTATTTTTTTTTTTTTTAAGTCCGCAAACTTGCGAAAAATGAAAAACCCGTAAGTGAATCACAAAAAACGTGCAAGTGTGCAACAAAACACAAAAAAGTGCACTTAGGGGTGTGCTTTGTCCTTCCCCCAAAGGGGATGGACCTCTACCCTGATCCCCCGGGGCACGAAGCTCCTGACAGGGGCAAGGTTCCCATTTGGTCCACCTAGCCAAAAGGCCTGGCGGACCACCGTTCCTTGTGGCCAGCCAAAGCGGACACCCAGTACTTGGTCAGGGGGTTCTCCCGAAGAGAAAACCCCCCCTAGGGACTGGACTCTATTTTTTTTTTTTTTTAAGTCCGCAAACGTGCGAAAAACGAAAAACCCGTAAGTGTTCACAAAAAAAGTGCAAAACACCCCACGAAAAAGTGCACTTAGGGGTGTGCTTTGTCCTTCCCTCGAAGGGGATGGACCACTACCCTGATCCCCCGGTGCACGAAGCACCTGACAGGGACAAGGTTCCCATTTGGTCCACCTGGCCAAAAGGCCTGGTGGACCACCGTTCCTTGTGGCCAGCCGAAGCCAGCCACTCAGTACTTGGTCAGGGGGCTCTCACAAAGAGAAAACCCCCCAGAGACAGGGAAGGAAGGAACCAAAAGGCCACACATCCTCCCCCTAGACTTCAGGGCAGGCCCGAGGACCCACACCCTCCATCCTGTGAGAAAAACACACACATAAGAGAAAAAAGTGACAAAACGCGGGAGAGTGAAATAAATTAAATAAATAAATAAAAATAAAAAAGTGGTCATGCCAAATTGTGCACAGACCAGGCCCTGAGGCCTGTAGCAAAAATTGCCCCGAACTTAACCAAAAGGCCCGGTCCTGAGGGCGCTGTCCTGGACTGGACTCTAACAACAGACACAAGTAGCCAAAAAGCCCTTTCTCCCTTTTCTTTGAATTATTTTTTTTTTTTAGGTTTTTCCCCAGATGCTCGTACTTTCATTCACCTTAGGGAGAGTATTCTTATCTAATTGCAACTATGGTCACCCTACACTCAAGAAGTGTGGGATTATGCAAATTTCTCTGACATTTCCCACCCAGAAAACTCCTATTTTTCCAAGATGCCCGCTCGGTTTGTTAGCTCGGCCACACACTTGATCCAATAGATCACCACTCCCACCATCCCCTGCTTCAACCAATAAGGATGATTTTTGACCATGCTGTTTTAACTTAGGGAGAGCATTGTATCTCATTAGCATATTTGTTCTCTCTCCCTTTCCCTTCCTTCTCCTCCCCCGGAGAGCCCCCTGACCTAGTACTTGGTAGTCAGCTTTGGGTAGCCACAAGGAAAAGGGGTCCACCACAGTCCCTGTCAGGAGCCTTGTGCCCTGGGGGATCATGCTAGAGATCCTACCCCTTCGGGGGGGGGGGGGGGGGGTGGACTAAAGCACACCCCTAAGTGCAGTTTGTTCATATACAGGTTTGGTTTTTTGGATGTAAAAAAAATGTGTCTGACCTTGGCTGCCAGTCTCTCTTGGCTTTGGGGTGTTTTCATTGGGTCCACCCCATGCTACTGCAAGAGACACCACTATTCAAAAATATGCGGATTTGTCTGACACATTTCCACCCACAAATCCCCTACTTTTCCCCAGATTTTTTTTTAAATTCTTTTATTTAAAATTTTCAAGTAAAAACATAAAAACATAAATTCCATAGTACATATCAAACAAAAATTCCATAGTATATAGCAAAAAAAGATCGATCTTCACATCAGATACAAACCATATATTACAAAATTTTCATATCCCCTCCCACAATCCCTCCCCCTTTATCATATACCAGAAAAACCAAACATAACAAACAAAATCCCATCCCCCTACTTTTTCCCAGACGCCCACTCATTTTGCTGGATTGGCCACACACTGATACAACAGATCACATCTTCCATCAAGAATGATGAGTTTGGACCATACTATTTGAACTTAGGGAGAGCATTGTATCTAATTAGCATATTTGCTTTCTCCCTCTCCCTTCTTCCCCTGTCCCTTGTCCCTTGTCCCTTGTCCCCTGTCCCCTCCCCCCTCTCCCCTCTCCCTTCCAGTCAGCTTTAGGTAGCCACAAGGGGGTTTTCATTGGGTCCACCCCATGCTACTGGGAGAGACGCCGCTGGTAGTTGAACCACTGCTGAGAATAATGATCAATGACAAATGTGTAAGGGAGGGGGTTGGTAGAGGTACCTGGAAATGGACAGGAGTTTGAAAGTAATTGGATACATGGATGATTTTTTTTTTAGTTGAAAAATATATTTTATTTTTTACATAAGTATAAAAAAACAAGATACTTTAGTTGTGGTACATCTCACCCTGTACTGCGACACAGCCCTTAATACACCACATGAAAATACAGTCCAATCATACAATAAATACATTCACTCAGCGGAATGATGCCTAACGTGATGCGCACGGCAGACAAATTCCCTGGACCATCACGTCATGCATGACACCGCTTACCCCGAGACTGTTTGTGGCCCCCTAAGGTTCCACCAGAGTATCCTGGTAGTGCGATGTCAGATGTGCAGTGCCTGGGTCAAACCCCTGTCCAGGGGCAGACTGACAACTCATGGGGCCCCTGTGTCCTTGCCCAAAAGCAAAAAAGCCTATGAAAAAGGTACCAGGGGCATCTCAT